GCCGCCTGTTGCCGCTGAGTGGCGCCGCCTGTTGCCGCCGGCGGCCCACTCAATATCGATTGAAAGCCATATATGACATATTGTTCACAGGCTGAAGTGGATTCTGATGCGTGAATCTGGTAAATTATATCACAAGTACCCATATGCTGAGCCATATTTGGAATACTGTGTTGCGTACACTCTCGTTATATACTTAAGTTATAACTCTCGGGTGGTAACCGTCCCCATATATGTTATATGTCATCACATATAACATGGAGAGAAAGGTTGCCTACGGGCAGATATATTCCCCTTAACGGCAGCTAATGTCATATTTGATATTCCTTACTGTCTATTGCTGGACTAAACAATCTCAAAATGAGTATTACATATTGCTTTGGCTGTATATTACTTCTTACGGTTTGACATTCACGACCGGGTTCAGGTCAGCATCATATATTGAGTTGTCCGATGTGTAAACGGAGATCTACGGGGATGCGGGGAAAGACTTGAAGTCACCGGGCAGTCTTGGACATCGTCCGCGGCAACGACGGACTACATTTCATCCTTGCTGGCCGAGGGTTCTTATAAGACTGCTTCGTCTGTATTCCCTCGTAACTGACGACTTCGATCCGCTGAGTCTTCCACGATGTCGAGCATACTGAAGTCTACCCGTACTCACCTCCGCATTTATCCCTGCGTTCGTCCTATGTCTTCCTCAGCATTGCCGCCATCGACTTCGAGCACGGTTACTCCTCCCTGGTCGTTGCCGGTCACCCCTCCCAGTCCCGCTACTGAGAGCGCGCTTCACGCCCAGCGAGTCTCGCAGTTGTCTTCGTTCTTCTCTTTGCCCCGCTTTGCCTCTCTCCAGCGCCCCTATACGCCGGAGTCTGTCGTCTCTAAACAAGGATCATTACCACCACTGCCGCTTCCCTCTAATCTTCTCGCAGACAAGCTATATGCGCTGTTTGAGGAACGGTCAAAGCAAGGGGTCGGGGTGAAGACCCTTGGCGTAGTGGACCCGGTGCAGATGACCCAGACAGCGAGATTAGGACTGGAAGTCGCATATGTGAGCGGATGGGCATGCAGTAGTCTGCTAACCACAGGTAACAACGAAGTCGGCCCGGATCTGGGGTGAGCTCTGGAATACTTGCGGCTGCCCTACTTTCCTAAACTACTGGTGTTACGTTAGAGACTACCCGTACACTACGGTTCCCAATCAGGTGCATCGTATATTCCGCGCCCAGCAGCTGCATGACAGGAAGCATTATGACGAACGATTCAATGCCTCAGAGGGAGAACGCGCCAAGATGCCGTACATTGACTATCTGCGACCCATAATTGCAGATGCTGACACTGGGTAGGCCCCATTTTGACAGCATATCGCATGTTATCTTCACCGGTGGTCTAGGCATGGCGGCACCTCCGCTGTTATGAAGCTTGTCAAGTTATTCGCTGAATCGGCGGGTGAATTAAGTCTCGATGCCGTTGTCTGACTTACCGTTCTCGTGTAGGGAGCCGCCGGCATCCATCTTGAAGACCAACTCCACGGAGGGAAGAAGGTTAGTGGTCCTTGTCTCCGTGCTCTGCGTTCCCCATATAGCCTCTATTGTCGCTCTGCCATTGAATCGTCCCTTCGTCGTACACGCTGCTCGAGGTTACCCCTGGAATGCTCCCCAGAATTCTTCAGGCATACTAGAAAGGACCGCATGCTGTTCCATCCGCCGCGAACGTTTCTATATCTCCGCCGTCGGCAACTTGTCTGGAAGGTAAACTCCGGATGAAGTGTTGACGGAGGAGATATCATGATCGCAACTCACGGTGGCCATCATGACACCGGACAGGGCAGCATAGCTCTCCTATCTGAGGTCGGAGTTGGTTCTTCGCTTTCAGAACGACTCCTTCCATGACATGCCTATGCGTTGGGTCACTCTCGAGGTTAGACTGGGGTATAATGTGGCCTAGCCATTTTACGCCTCTACTGCTGGACACGGTTCGCAGTTAGTTTCCTTTTTATACGAATTTTGCGACGAGCGCGGGATATGGTGAAATCACCCGTTACTCCTACTATGCTGTACTTCATCACGACAAATAACCCCTCTTCCCCTGCATCCCTTCCTCCTGGTTCTGCATTTTGTTAAGCGTTGTCTAATCATATATCCCCTTCAGTGCGGCCATCTCGCAGGAAAGGTCCTCGTCCCAACCTCAACGCACGTCTCGCGCCTCATCGCCTCCCGCTTCCAACTGGACATCCTCCAGTCAACGATGCTCCTGATCGCCCGTACCGACGCCGAGTCGGGCAAGCTCATATCCAGCACCGTCGACCGTGCGGACGCCGCGTTCGTCAAGGGCGTCGTGACGAAGAATCGGGGAGAGAAGGGCCTGGCTGATGTCATCGCTGAGGCGGAGATGCGGGGCGCTAGCGGGAAGGAGGTGGATAAGGTCGAGAAGGAGTGGATGGACTCGCACCCGTTGGTCACCTTTGGTCAAGGTCGGTTTGCTTATGCCAAGGACATCTTGATCCGTGCGTTACATACCTACCTTTCGTCGGCAGCTGTGCAGCAGGCTATCGAGTCTACGTCTTCGATCTCGGTTGCAGCCAAGAAAGACGCCTATGCTAAGTTCTTGGACGCTTCCAGCGGCAAGTCCAACCCCGAAGCACGAGAAATCGCGCGAGACATAGTCGGCGAATGGGTCGGCTGGGACTGGGATTGTATGTCCTCCGCAACAACTACATGTCTGCACCGCGCTCAGTCTGATGCATCCCACAGTGCCTAGAACTCGGGAGGGTTACTACCACTTCACCGGTGGGCTGGAGTGTGCTATCCAGCGGACCTTGACCTACGCACCTTACGCTGACCTCGTCTGGCTGGAAACAAAGACACCCGACCTTGAACAAGCTCGCTATTTCGCGAGGAAGATCCGGGAGAAGTATCCTGGCAAGTGGTTGGTGTACAATCTGAGTCCCAGCTTCAACTGGAGTGCACATGGGTTCAATGGTGAGGGCATCGCCATTACCGCGTAGGTCGATCTAAGCGGAGTGACCGTGACGTCCAGATACCGATCTAAAGAACTTCACGAATGAACTGGGCAAGGAAGGGTTCGTGCTCCAATTGATATCTTTGGCCGGCTTACACAGTAATGGTGCTTCAATGGGTACGTCTGGTCACTTGCCGATAGGTGCCATGGGATTAATCACCGCATACGCAGCTGAGCTTGCCGGCCGATACAAAGAGGATGGCATGCTCGCCTATGTCGAACTCGTGCAACGCAAGGAGAAGGAAATCGGTTGCGATGTGCTCACACATCAGAAATGGTACGCCTTCCCTGGCGCCTCTCCTCATTTGTTTTGCCGTCAACTGACCGCTGTCGCTTTGAATACCAGGAGTGGCGCAAACTATATCGATCGCATCTTGAATACTGTCTCCTCGGGCTCCTCAGCTACGTCGTCGATCGGAGCAGATTCCACCGAGCACCAGTTCTGAATGTCCTTCTGTGGTCCAGATGCACACATCCGCGACGGAATCTATGATGCCATGCTACCTATATAGCATTGATAACTACAATGTGGATTACAGGATGTCGACAGCGAAAGCGAAGCGAAGAATAATGACAAGATGAAGAGATGATAAACATTCCACGTAACTACCTAATTTTCTAAGACGATGAGTGACCAATATATGTACCATTAAATTACAGCATGCATTTGACAAGAGAGGAACCAAGCTTGAGTCGTGAGTAGTTTCAGTCCCGCTGATCCAGCCCATGGTAAGGGTAGCTCAACGACTTATGTGGGTCCATCTTCGGAGATACCATTTCGAACTCTGAGGTATCGAAGCTGTGAGCATCATCATCCTCGTAGGATGGTCGCTGCGAGCCGGGTGGGGATGGACCATTTGATCCCAAAGGTGACCGTCGTGGTGGTGACGCTTGCAACGAAGACGTCGGAGTAGGCGTCAACTGGGCCCTCGAAGCCCCGTTATTGAATGACTGAGATTGCCGAACAGCACGAGTCGTAGCATTCGCAGTGGCATACTGCTCGGGCAAGTTAGGACTAGGGGGGATCTCATTGAATGAAGAGATAGACCCCTTAGTCTTAGAAGCAGAGCCGAGTCCCAGGATACTTGGCCGACGCTTCCGCGCACCCTCCGCTAGTTCAGTTGACGGAGGTCGTGAATTCTCCGGAATCGTGTCAGATTTGCTGGACAGCATCGACGATGACTTCCAGGACTTGAGAATCGACTTCCTGACACTCCCCCGTTCCCCTGGTGTATTAGAAGGTGCTTGCGGTGGCTCAACACCAGGGGTGCTCGGGCCAGAAGATGGCAAAGGGGTCGAAGGCGGTTGAGGGGAGTAAGACTGGGGCGAGGGTGTAGGACGGGCTGGGTACGGGGACGCACGTCGTACCGGCATAGGGTACGGCGACTCTTGATTGAAGTGCACCGCATCCAATTCAGACCTTCTGGCGGGCTGTCTCTGCTGAGGATACCCAGAGGGCGGCGCCGACTGGAGGCCATTCGGCACCCTCGGGGGAGGCATCATGTCTTGGCGACCACCAGGTATTGGTGGTGTCTGAGGAGAAAGCCTGCCACCATTCGGAGCAGATGACGAGGAGCCGGAGACCGAATTCTTATTGCTCTTTCTCCAGAACTTCTTGATGCTTTTCACGCTCACCAACGTCGTGCCGCCATTTACCTTGAGGCTCTTGCCATCTTCTTCCTCTTGGATTATAGAATCGCTAGAGAACCTGCTAGATGGTGCCCGTGATTGACTATATTCACTACTCTCCCGACCATCTGAGAACGCTTGAGAATCTCTTGTCTGTACTGTGGGTGCAGGTGCGGAGGGGAATCTGCCAAAAGGATCAGGCGACAAGGGAATCACGGGTGAATTCACGCTGTGCTTCAGGTGGGGTGTGAGCCCGGGATACTGGCCCTGTTCCTCCTCTAGCTCACGTTTCCGCTTTTCGCTTTCGGACGTGCTGGAGCTGGCAGAGGAATGTTGTCGATGGAAAATCTTTGGCGCATCTCTCGAGACCCCGTTAACAGTCAAGCGGGGCAGTGCTGGTTCAGTCGGAGTCTCTTCAGGCGTCTCTGTCGCTAGAACCGAGTACGGGACCGCTGGCCAGACCGCTTCTCCGGGACTAAGCACATATGATTTGCATCGACTAGGGTATCTAGATCCATGATAACTCACCCTACACGTCCTCCTGACGGCGGTAGTGGTTTATCGGTCTGGCGCGGTCTTAGTCCGTTCGCTGCCGGAGGGGCGAGACTCCCAGCCCCAAGGGATGACGACCGCTGAGGGGGGACGGGCCCCTCCTCAGGCAGCTCATATTCCATCCGCCGCGGCGACAGTGATGCCAAAGCCTGTTGCCGCACAAACCACACCTGGTGAGTCGGAGTCCGCATCAGCAGCAGCACGCGCGTACCTTCTCGATCTCGTCCAGCTTCGCCCGCATTAAGTACTGGCTCTTCCTTCGGTCATAAGGATCATTCTCATCATACTGCCATGAAACCCGGATCAAAAACCGTCAACTATTGATGGGCCACCGGGGGATACGCACCTCGTCGTCTGGCCCGAGAACGCTCACGTCCAGACCCAGGTCGAGGTCCTCAAACACGACGCCTTCCCTGCGTTCGTCCGTAGGACTCCGCACCCGGGCCTCTCGCTCCTGTCGTTCCGCGGACTGATCCCGCGAACTGCCTTCGCTCTCCGATGGCGTCTGTTCTCCCGTGAGATACGCTAACTTACTAGAGTCGCCACTAAGAGGGAGCAGCGGACTGTTGTCCGGAAGCGCCAAATCGCCAGGGACTGGTGGGATATCAAGTGGTGGGGGAACGTGTTTCTTGATGGTCGCGGCCGTCTTCGGAGATGACGTGCGCTTGCTGCCCGGCTGCGGTGGTGAGTCGGGGATGTTAACTGAAAGCCGGGGTCGACCGTTCTCCTCCCACAACTCCTGAACCTGCACGGTATCATCTTGATCATCATCGTACTCGCTCTCTTCCTGTTCCGCTAAGGTAGCACCATCCAGGGCGAGATCAGGGTCGTTCGGGATCTTCGGTCTGCGCCTTTGGGTCCCAGCCTGCAGGTCGGCGTGAATGTCAGCCCATGTATCAGCGTCAGACCCAAACACATCCTCAAGCGGGTCCTGGGCTTCGTGAATGGTAGAAACTGAACGTGCCAGGGGAGCAGTGGGCTCTTCCTCTTCTTCCTCAGAATCGAGGTCGGAGTGAGAAGGTGAAAACGAAGAAACATGGCCATCCTGGGGCTCAGAATCGGAAAGTGGAAGATATCCCCCACGCGGTGATTCAAATTCAAGTTCATGGTCGCTATCGCTCACCTGCCCATCATCCTCCTCCACATCAACCGCCCTGCGACCTTGTTTCCCCAAGGCAAAGCTCGGCGCCGGGCTCGCGGTCTGCAGCCCGCGCACCAGCTCGAGCTCGAGCGGCGTCCGCGCCTCCGACGCGTCCGTGTCCTTCGAGTCCGCCCGCTTCCTGCTCGCGCGGCTGTCGGCCCGCCGCGCGAGGTTGTTCCGCCGGCTCCGTATCCACGGTTCGTACCACTGGGCCTTCCGCCGGTCGATGTCGAACTCGACCTTCGCCAGGATTGGGATTAATGATGGGGAATGCAGTCCCGGGAGATCAAGAGACTCCGCGCGGGGGTCGAGCGGGCCCTCTGCACTCGGCGAGACGGAGGAGTCAGGCGTCTCGGGTTCGTGCTCGGACTGTGACGCGCTGCGAATGCTCGACTTGGCACGTAGATCAGATGTAGAAGAGGGAGTCGACGGAGACGGCGTAGCGGGATATCCAGTGAGGGGCTGGGGCGTCTCCACCCGTAGAGGAGTCATCAGTGTCCGTAAACCACCGTCCTGGGATGGGTTGCTCCCGAGCCCTAATCCCAGACCGAAACCCTGCCCAAGTCCCGCTTCCTCTCGTTCTGTCCTCGCGACCCTTGACCAGAGTAGTTTCCATATTTCCTCGGACAGCCTCGGGCCCGGCTCCTCGCCCTCCATACCTCCATGACCCATATCGATACTTTGCTGAGGACTAAGTGCGCCTTGCCTCCGCGGTGTGGTGGAGACGAGGTACAGGATCATGCCCACCGTACTTGGCAGAGCGTACTCCTTCGCAATCGCGCCGAGTTGACTCTGTAGTGTCGGGTACAGCGGGACAAGCGTCCCCCTTCTAAACTGAGTGTGATAGCCGGAAGCATGAGAAGGCGGAGGGGCAAGGTCCGAGTAGTCGCCCTGCTCCGAGTCGTGAGGAAGATGAATCGGGGGTATGACGTGCAGTAAGAACTTGGAAGTAGGTTGGGCACCATAGGTCGAGTAGGTGGACGCAGCAGAGGGCGTGGGCGAGCGTCGATGGTTGTCCGGGAAAAGAGAGGAAGTAGATGTGTTCGGGCTGGCAGAGAGATTAAAGGCAGACTGGTTGGGCGACGAGCCGGCCGGTAAAGGAATGGATACGCCGAGAGCGTTGGCGAGTTTCGCGAGTCGGTGCGGGGGTAACGGAGTTCGCGGGGGCGGCCATGTCGGTGTCGGCGAGGGTTCTGGCGGGAGCGACGAGGACCGAGAAGCTCGTGGAGGCATTATTAGTGTGTGATCGGCCTTGGTAAAAGAGAGTCGTGGCGAGTGAATGCGGTTTACGGCGATAGCATTAGGCTACAGTGGTTGAGCAGGGCAAGCATGCCCGAACCGCGGATATTCACGTACAAGTCGTCCTCGTTCCCACTAACTATCCCTTCGAGTAAGCTGAATATCTCTTTCTATTACGCCTTCATAGACAAAAATGACCGCGAAATACATGAATCATCATGGAAGTTAGTTGAGAAAGCGGTTCCTGCTAACTGGAGAACGTACGAATCTTTCCAGTCCTTCCCCAACGTCCTTACAGCAAACACCGATGCCTGGCAGCACTCGGTCGGCGTGTTCAGAAAGGAACGAAGCTTTCCCAGCGACCACGAAACCTGAGATTCTGAGACACTGCGGGAAAGGGGAAAGAGAGACGGTTGCACCCAAAAGCAGGGGCCGCGGGAAACTGCTATCTTCCAAGTTCCAACTCGGATGCCAGCGCCGTACACAAGTAGTATGACCAGCAATAATAGGACGGTCAATCTACGGTCAATATCATGATGTCTTCCGCATAGTCTGGCAAAGGGATCATGATGCTCCACCCTGTCTAGCCTGTAACGTGGTAGCTATGGTGATGAAGCTCAAACATACGAGGCTTGTGGGCATGCGGGAGACAGATCGTGGACTTTGTATGTCAAACATATATTCAACTGACAGAAAGATGGCATGTTCTGGGGCGAAGACGCATAATAGGTATGTTATTCATCCGAGTAAGTGGACCGGCCTTGCTATTCCAATCGCGAAAACCCTCCCTACCGCATCCACGATTTCTCAAAATCTACTCCGGAGACTGCAACTCCATCAGCATCTCGCAAGGGCAGGCATACGAATCACGTCTCGCACTGCCGGGGCAGCGGCACTCGATCATGTATCATTGCTGCAGTTGATCCTCGGGATAAGCTGTACAAGAATAACTGGCAATCCCATAGCTATTTGAGGCCCATCTCGCGCAAAGCGGGCACCCGGAGTTCAGTAGAGAACCTAGGGATCACCCCCGACCAGTCTCAAGAGTATCGCACCGAAAGGCACACTGTCAAAGAGCACGAGGCCTCCAGCATACAACTTACAGGATTTCGATCCAAGATCAATCCTGTCATACGCGTTCGACTCGTGTATACAGTCTTTTATCCATGGGGCAAGTTCACATTCCAGTTAGAGCTCGGTGAATTACTCTCCGCTGGGTTCTCGACAGCGTTATCAACGTTATTAACAAAAATGGTAGTTATTAACATGTAATTAACATTGTCAATAACCAAAAGGCCACATTTGGCCACATTCCGTGTCCTCGACACCCCATTCGAGTCAGTGCTCGTAAAACACGTCCCTCAGGCCCCAATAAATGTAGAGACATGTTCTCCTTCTCTTTGGAGCACTTGAAAGCCTTTGTAGGAGCAGTACTGTGAGGAACAAGTCCGAGTCATCGAGCAGCTGCAATGCATGAGAGACCAGGCTTGGCACACGACGAAAACAACCTCATTGCCTGGACAGTAGGTGGCATGACTGTCTCGTCCTCCGTAGAGTGGCTTGTAGTTGCTCACGAAACACCAGATACACCCCGACACTGCCCAGAGTCTCCTTGGACAACCATGTCCCACTGGTAGTCCCGAATACCCGGTTCAGGGTAATTAACCAAGGGAAATCCGACCCTGAGATATTGACAAGTAATTAACCTGTTAATTACAGCTTGTTATTAACCGCTGCCAAGAACTCAGGGTATTTCACTGAGCTCTAATTCCAGTGTCGTCCAGCACCCGCGCGATTCTACAGCGTCCGCACAGAACGAGTGGCAGAAAGAAGGTAACTCGGCGAATCCCGGCGTGCGACGTGTGAGGTCACCGGTCCCTGCCCCGGTGGCGTTAAAGCGTTAAAGCTCAGCTTACAATGGCCTGGCAGACGCCGACACGGCACTGGCACCGATATACATCTTGCTCCTGACTCTCATACCAGCGCGTATTCGAACTAGAGCCGGGCACCGCCAGATTTGACACGAAGCTGACAAGATGGCGTCGAGGGAGCCGATGTGGTACTGTCATGAGGTGAATACTGCTACTCCCGATAGAGGGTCTCTCGTGGCGGGGCGATAACCATCCGATGTATGCGACAGTGCCATGCTGAAATGAGGCCATTGATGGTGAGTAACGTTGAGTACGCTATTGAATGTAAAAGGAGGTGCTGAGTGCGACGATCGTGCAGCAACCAGACCCGATATGCGCGTCGTGCCATGGGAGTTTCGTAGAAAGGGTGCGTCCACACCGTGTTGCAATTGATTCTTGTACTCGATTACTCAAATGCTTCATGGAATGTAGATTGAGAATCCCCAGGACGACCCTAGAGCGTTCACCGCGCCCGGACTGCCTGGTGGGGGTGACGTGCCGGAATTCGACCAATTCCTCAGTGCGTACAATGCATGGCCAAAGACACGCATTCACCGCTCAACTGTTTCACTCTGTAGTAGGATTGCATGATCTACTGGCTCACCCGCGACCCCGATCACCTGCGCCACGGCCCTCGTCCCCAGATACGTCTGCATCAAGAGCCGGGGTGAGTGTCTATCCTCTCTGCACTGAGACGGGGGAAAACACCTAATTCTGCACTTAGGGTGGCGTTCGGATTGAGTTCAGTAGTAGACGGCCGGGAGGTGTGAGCACCTTCATCATAGGTGGACCGAACACACTAGGCCGATCAGGGTCAAGCGATAGCTTGAATGGCGGCCCTCCTATGTAAGCCGCATAGCCCTCTCTGATACCCCTACCTAGCATTAAACCACCTGGTGTATCTAGGTTCATGCGGAGAAACAGTGCTAATGGTGGGACCATGGGCGATGACCCCGACAACGGGATCGCCGGGAACCTGATGATGCAGTACCTCATATCAATGCTGTCACAGAGACCTGGGCAGCCCGGGGGCCGTGATCCACTCGGTGGGCTGGGTGGGCTCTTTGGGCCGATGTTTGGCGGTGCGGAGGGCGGGAGATGGGGTGATTATGTGTTCAGTCAGGAAGGTACGTAGTCCGGAAGTTGAGTTGTCTTATATCGCTGAATGACGCCTGCGGGCAACAGCATTGGATCAGATCATGACTCAGTTGATGGAGAATTCCAATGCACATCGACCTGTTCCCGCGCCCGAAGATGTCGTCGCCAAGTTGCCGAGGGAGGTTCTACAAGAAGGATGTGAGTGTGCATGAGAGCTCACTGAAGCTCGCACTAATCTATTTGCAGCACCGTTACTCGAGAAGGATTGTGCCGTGTGCAAAGAGCAGTTCAAGCTCGGTACGGAGGATCCCGATGAACAAATAGTGGTGACACTACCCTGCAAACACCCATTTCACGAACCCTGCATCCTCCCCTGGCTGAAATCCAGCGGGACATGTCCTGTATGCCGGTAAGTAGTCTCTCGTATCTACGCTCGGCCCCCTCTCACCGATGGGATTAGATTTGCCCTCGTTCCTCAAAATAATGAGAACAGTTCAGGGTCACCACCAGCAGGCGGCTCGCGCGGCCCGGGCAGTCGACCAGGGAGTCCTTCGAATAACCGACCGAGATCACCAGGCTCAGGTGGCTCACAAGGCGGTGGCGGTGGCGGTGGCGGGCTCCTCAGCAGTTTGCTGTCGCATTTGAACCCGCTGCAGCATAGCAATAACGGCGGGGGTGGCTCTTCGGGGCCCTCAAGGTCGCGGTCCGATCCAGAGGGTAATTCTGGATCGCATCTGCCTGGGTCTTGGAGTGAACCTGTGGATTGAGGTATATGTGGCACATTTGACTGGATAGGGGGATGAGATGCTCCGTCGTATTCTAATGTCTTCATAGATTCTGTAGCTATGAGTTTGTTGTATTTTTCGTTCTGCGGTATGTTTTACCACACGCGCTTTCGCTTCACTCCTGCATAGGCATTCATAAGGACATTCAGCTGTTCCGAAATAATTGTACAAGTGAGACAGTCTCCCGATTGGAATACATTCAGTACAGTAGGAAACAAAAGGCACCCCAGCGACACGAGTGCTCGGCACCAATGCGAACTCATCTTGATCGCAACAGATGTGGCTCCGCTAAGATCGACATCCCACGCTTCTCCGAAAACCTCCAGGATGCGGGCGTAGTTACTAACGTCTTATGGCAGACAAAGCTGCAGAACAATAGAAAGCTGTACCATATTAACCACGGGGGAATGACTTCGAAGGCATTCCGTTGTGGAAGAGAACTGCAGTCGCATTGAGGCTTCAAGTTGGAATGGTATGCCGCATATCTGCCACCGTACCGGCCTCCGGTTAGTCGAGATCGATGATTTTCCAGCGTCATCCACAGCATGTCAGGGACAGAACACAGGGTAATTGACATCGCATAGATCCCTTTATTAAATGGGGTAATGGCGGAGTCAGATCACCTCTCCGAAGTCCGCACTAGCCCGTCCGCTGCATATTGTGCGGGAGCCACTTCTGTCGTTCGCCTCTTGCTTGCGATCCACGAGGATAACATGTCGTCCAGCGAGCCAACGGTAGCTGCGACGTCGGGCGCATTGCTGGTTGGTGGGCTGATCTCGTTCTGGCGAGTGCTTGTAATTTTATGCAGTATGATCGTCTGCTGAAGGGCACCCAGGCTTTTCGGCATGCAGGTGCGGCCCAACTATCAGTGGTGGACGCACAACATAGAGATGGATTTCTTCCGTATATACAGACAGTGCAGACATACCTTTACTATGAGAATTACCCAGAGGATGGTTTAGTCTTGAAGACACTGGTACGCGTTATTGAACATATCTATTGTACTTTTAAACTGAACACGGCTCTGTTTAGGTTGCGTTCCTGTGTTTTATCGATACGGTGCACAGTATCTTCACGGGCCACATGCTATGGCACTTTCTGATAGAGGATTCCAATCAAGCGGCTGGGATGAGGCCAAGGGCATGGAGTTTCAATGCGAGTACCGCGTCCTGAAAATACTGTACCAGCTCGGCCTAACTCACGATGTTTAGTCTACCATAGCGTTGACTGCCATAACTGCCTTCATTGTTCAGTGGTAAGTCGCGTCGCTGGTTCGTCGCGGTGCAAGCGTTCAATCTTACTTTGCCTCACCCCAGCTTCATCGCTCGACGCATCTGGATATGTACGTCCCCGCGCACTACTTTGTCGTATATCGCATTAAGGATGCTCCAGTGAATCGATCTTTATGGCAAAGAGTCGCGGCCACCTTCATGGTAGGTCAACGTTGCTGTGGATAACATCCAAATGCCTGACTCCAGTTGCACAGGGTGTTCTGGCTGTCCTTCCCCTGGCGTGCGGTCTGGCCTGCACTGTTATGTACGTCGAGCATGTCGGCCAACTGTCTTTCTCATTGCTTATGGTATATACAGCATGGTTTTCATCGGCAACCCTTCGTTGTACCGGCACTGCACGGTCTGTAGGAAAGTATTCACATGCGAGCTGTCTTTATTCACGTATGCCCTTGGAACGTAGGCAATCATAGGAACATGGCTGGCCTCCACGGCAACCGTTGATGTGCTCATGGCTGCGCTCCTCTCGTATACATTGTACAACGCCCGCATCGGTATCAAGGAGTTAGTCAAGCGCCGCGTTTGAAATTTCCCTGAACTAATCACTCACTGTGCCCGACAGGACGGACACGATGGTCACCAAGTTGATAGTCCTGGTCGTCAATACCGCAATTCTCACGAGGTATGCAGGACATGTATCAATTGTCACTAGCTGCACTGACGCATGTGTGGACAAAAATCAGTGGTGTCGCCTTCGCGGACCTCGCTACGTTCTGGACGATGGGTAACTCAAATCTCGCCCACTGGGCTCTCAATATTAACCTCTCAAAACTCTACGTCAATACGTTACTGGCGACGTAACCCTGCTCCTCAACTTCGTTCAGCCCGATTCTCACCCTTCTCATTCGTAGGCTGAATGCTCGCCAGTCCTTATTCAGAAGTCCCAGGCATAGTATCCCCGCGTCGACCATGGAGCTGAAAGCCTATGATCCCGGTAATGTCATCCAAATCCAGAAGACCACCATTCGGAGTACGGAGGTCACTGTGAGTATCAAAGCCTCTCAACTCTTTCAGATATTACTCAACTAAGTCACTACACGCAGTATGTGGACTCTGAGCTGGCGTACGAAGACCCGCCCGCCCTGCCGATTGGTGTGTATGCGCGTGCCAAAATTGTGAGTGATGGCGCTGTAGTGCATAGAGTAGCGTGACCTGACTTCATTCTTAGAGACGGGATAAAGACTATTACTGATCATGATGGGGGATGACTGGCCGAGTTCTTGTAGACCTATTTGTACGGTGCTTGATGTATGAATGATCGCTATGCGTACAGCTATGTTCTTGCTCATCCTATCGCTAAGTCGCTACACTAATCACACGTGTTCTCTTGCAATCACAACTCCTCATACCCTCAGTCAATGATAGGCATTGGAAGACGTTCGTCGAACTCTGCGTCTCCTATCACTTCGAACTTGATCCCGGTGCCTGCAGGAACACAGCCTTCCCCAAGCGCTTCGCGGAGAGCCGTCTTTGCCGCGAATCCCGAACAGTGCATGGGAAGCACGTACACGGGCGCAGGCTTCAATTTTTCAGCTAGGAACTCCGTGGTTGGGGCTATGCGGCTTTCTAGCTCACCCCCAGCGAGGTGTAAACCTCCGATAACCTGGTGAAGGGTTAGTAATAAGCTCCCGTAAATATCAAGGCAGTACCATGTACACCGGTCTGGAGAATTTTGACACAGCGTCGCGGACTACGTTGACTACACCGGCATGGGAGCACCTTCAAAGCAATGTCAGTGATACGCAAGCGGTGAACGGAAGGCTGTACGCGGTGAAGATGACAAGACCCTTCCCTAGAACATCAACCAGAGCATAGCGCTCGTCCATTATGTGCTGCTAATGTCAGATGGAAGGTCGAAGAACTTATGCGGATGGGCTTACGTTTTCTGGTAACCAGTGGCCTTCGGTCCATCGCATCCCACCAAGGAGGCCGCCTTCAAAGTCGGTAATACGAGGGATCTCCCCACTGACATACACAGTACCGTCTGCTACGACGTGGCCGACGTCATTCACATCCAGCGTTCCACCTTCGTTCTGTATTTCTGCGAAGGTGGGGTCTGCCGGCAGTCGAGCTATGACTGTATCATGGTTCGGGGGAGGTGCTATGCCTCGAGCGACCGGACGGCTCGGATGGAGATCAATCGTGATTTCTTGTGGAATATCAGAACTCCCATGATGAGCCGCTGCGGCGACTGCTTTTTGGCGTAGTCTGAGGAAGGAAAGCAGACCGCCTGAATGGTCCGCATGCCAATGGGACAATATGACCCGGTCTATCTGCTCAATAGGGACATGCAGGGACTCCACGTTCCTCACTAGGGATCGTGAATCCGGGCCTGTGTCAAAGAGTGTATAGTGCTTGGTACCCTCTCCGACAGATGTTTCCTGAAAGTATGGTCGCTCCGGGGCCTATAACCGACTAGAGATTCAAAGTTGAACTCACGATGAGAGCCGAGAAGCCATGGGCACCTGCACTGAACGCGCATTAGGGTCAATACCACCGATGAGCATCGTATACAGTACCGCAACAGTAGTTCTCGAGATCCAGGAACGGAACGCCTGTCAGTGGATCTATGATAGGATGTTCGGATAGATGTTGGCGCATCTCATGCTTGAAGCCAGGGGGTAACCGGGTCATCCTGCGAAAGCCAGTGACGTCCTATAACATGCCAGGTTCTTGGGAACCAGACTCTTACCATTCTATTGAGTTGTCCACGAGGAATGTCACGGCGAAGTAATCAACCCGCTTCAGTTCTGTCTCTGACGGCACCATTATCACGATAGGGAACTATTGTGGATGCAGCTACAGAGCTCCAGTCTGCTCAAGTGCAGTATCGCAGTCGAAGTCGTCTCTTTTGAGGCTGCGGGCTAGACGAAGCCGCTGGTCCGGGGACCCCGCATCATCGTAAGGAATCGCGAGAATCTGCTCATGATTTGGAATTCAAGTTTGAAGGTATTCGGATTTGGAGGAGGATGTCTCAAACTTGTTTTCAGCTCTAATTTCCGAATTGTTACCTCAACGTGGCAGTACAGATCTAGAGGGCCTCTGAGAACTATCAGTACTGCACCTCGAAACGTCTTCAAGTTGCCCGTCAATGAGCTAGTGCATGTCGTAAAGTACCCATGGTGACTGTATAGTCAAGTAATCACATACAACACATTCCGACTGGGATGTTCATATCAATATTAATATGCGTCTGCAGCCACCCATCTTGCAAGAATGGATAGTCAAGAATTACTAGACGTGGCATAATGTTATGAAGTAAATGAGTGATAGGAGAATCGTTAACCACGATATTGGGGTGGAGGAAGTGCTGGGTCGCGGTTGGCATCCCCGGAGGGATCGATCCTGCGTGCAATCATCTCCACAAGCATATCAACGTCAGCGGGTTGGAGATTTGCCGGTGCGGCGGGAGGGGGAGGTAGAGGACGTGCCTGCGCAGTTTCAGAACCCCGGAAGGAGGTGACTGAGAATGAGGGTGACCGCGCGGTATAAGGAGTCATAGGCAGCGAACGAACACTAGCCGATGTGAGCGGCTCAACTCCCAAACTACGTTTCTCCTGGTTACCGGGAGTCGTTACCATACCGCGAGCTGATACGACAGTGACCGGAAGAGTGGAGGCACCATCGGAATAGAAAGGATCGGCGCTCATAACAGCATCATGTTCAGACTCGGCCAGGTCGAGGGACTTGTTCTCATTAGCATGCCTTGGGGAGCGCAGCCACCACCATAGGGCGAAGATCGTGACAGCCAGGACAGCCAGACCGCCTATAACTCCTCCGGCGATCGCTCCCGCGTTTGTGGTATGATGAACAGCCGCTGCTGAGCTGGCCGGACTGGTCGAACTGGAGGTTGCGGACGATGAGATAGATGACCTGTGTGAATTATAAGCTTGAGGCATTGCAATGAGACTAAGGAAGCATCTCTCACCCCACGCCAACGTCCGTATTACTATTAGGCTTGTAGATGGTAATGGAATTGAGCCAGAAATTCTCCCCCGCGCTAGTGTTGGTGATATTCAGGGTGTGCGTCTGATTGGGATCAATGCCATCTTGGTAGTAAAGTAGCGCATCGGGGATAATCCACCATGTGCTGCCGTTGGGCGAAGCGACGGACTGGCCATCAAGTGTCTAAACCAAACAGTGGGTGACGGATACTTCAGGACGAATCCTAAACAGGCACCTACCACAGAATAAACCCAATTGCCGTAGTTTCTCGTACCGTTAACCGCGACAGCGGAAGCGCCTGAGAAGGTTAAAGCTACGCCGGAGCCCTCATTTTTCGTCTCGTGGTATGGCAGTGGATGCTGGAGGTTTGGGATTTGATGATCCGTGTTGACGCTCCAATTGCCATAATATTCCAAGGCCGTAGTGTTGGAGTTGTCGATAACATCCGGAATCATAGTGGTCGCGCTGTAAATTTCTTTCGAAAGGCAAGTAAAATACTACTTTTCTGATACACCTACCCGTCAGGAAGAGTGTTTGACACTGTGACATAATCGAACATCAGCAGCTCCAATGAACTTGCAGCTATCTGAGAGGTCAAAGTAACATAGTGCATCCCCTGGTTAAGCTGGGGTTGGGTATACAGTACGTCGCCAGACGTCTGCTGCTGTGGGTCACTTGTCTGACTATCAACTGTGACTTGGTAGCTGCAGTTGGCAGTTCCAAAGAGTGTGAATCCGGTCCCTGATGTCCTAGTCAGCGCACTATATGACGGTGGAGGTGGGAGGCGCATTACCATAGAAGTTGAATGACACACTCGAATTGCCGTCACCAGTGACGTGGTATGTTTGGCCTTGACCTGCAGCGCCGGGGTCTTCACCTGCTTGAAAATAACCAGAACCTGTGAAATATTGCTTCCATCCACCCCCTCCGGCCCCTTCTCCTAAAAATGCGGGTTGAGGGTGAACAGACTGGCTGCGACATGGCAAGGGACTCTTACCCCAAGGCAAATAAGTCAGAGCCGTCGAAGTATCGTCAATGGTGAAAAAGTATTGCCCGCTCATGTCGGATATCGGTAGAGGCACTGCGGTGAGCCTACGGGGCGCAAGTAGAAGATAGAGAAGACATGAGGCTCGAAGAACTCCACGGCATCTGTTTTGTACATCTAGGCGGGAATTGGTATGGGCGGCATCCGAGAATGATTGACAAGCCTGGGTCGTTACGGTCCAACGGTCTATGATGATGGGGTTTAGATCCAAATTATACAAGGTTTCAGGTACTCCTTACACTCGTTACAACTGTTACCTCATAATACTCAGGTCGGATGGCAGCTCGCAGTTAGTCTCGCAGGGACTTGTCTGATGGATGCCCGATCATTTATAACACGAACACCGCCCCTGCGCATACCGACCGTGCAAGATACAGACAACAAAGCATCTTGCCTAAGGACATTCCCTCGCATCACGCAAGATACACAATGCACAAGGCCGTCGATATTGGACTGGTGGTCCACCGGCGGCATGCAAGTGTGGCGGTCTTAATGATTCCGTGACACGGCTACGTCCATTGACAGTACATTGACAGGCAGAGATCGATGTTGAGTGGTGGGCACTAAGTGGATTATGGCTGTTCCTCCCCTTGAATGTCCTCGAGGCAACGACCACAGCGGAATTGTGGCTGCAGTGAATGATGTGATTGGCGTAACGTGGGAATACTGACCACCGTACGTACTCCCGGCTGTGGCTGAAAAGATGCCGCGCGCACACAAGTACTGCAGCAAGCCCTCACTCACTAGAGTCACTCAAAGAAGCTGGAATCGTGATAGCCTTGCGGCTTTAGCGTCGAGAGTGGGCATCAGACTTGATCATATTGGGGGGACCCTATGTTTCTTACTGGAGAACGCAGTCGATCAGCATTGAGCGCACCGTACTTTTGCCATGAGCTCTGACCAGGAACAATTACTCGCCGACATCGTCAATCCTAAACCTGAGACCGCAGAACGTTTGCTGAAGGAACTTGGGCTCTCCGGCGTTCCGGACAGAGAACACGTCCATCAGGAATTAGAAAAGAGATTCCTCTTACCGAACGACACGCTTCCGACGCACTGGCTTCCCACGTATCAAATGTGAGTTTAAGTAACTTTGTGTACTTAGTAAGGTACCAATGGATGATCCTTAGACACTGGGACCGGAAGCTTGAGATCCCCTCTTTGCTCAAGGTCGCTCCATCCCCAGCCCCGACCACAGTCTCCTTCGTTCGCGCAGGCCTCGAGGGACGGGTAACGGGATATACTGAAGTCCGTCCTCCTTGGGTAAACCCTGGTGGTCTATTGATAAATGTGTTATAGGTACCCACCACACGGCTCAGTACCGGGTTGACTTCCACCTCTCTAGAACGAGCACCCGCCCCCAGCAAAAGCTTTGTCCGCGGAAAGTCTGGATATGTCCCCTTCTGGCCCGGTGGACTGGATGAAGCTCTCAAAGAATCGGCTGATCCAGTCGAGCTCGATAAGAGTGTGAAAGGACTGAGGACCATCCCTCCCGGTTTCACGAGAGGACTCCGACTGCCTGGTGATGATCCCGATGATGAGATACTCGGAGACCTGGGTGATAGGGAAAATGAGATTGAGGGTTCCTTTGAGAATGGGATTCAGGTATTGGGTTGTAACTACAATGTTGACCCGAAGCTAATATACCCGTCATGGCCAGCCCGAAAGTTTCATAGAAGACCCCGAAGACACTGAACAGACCAATGGCTTCGTACCAAACGGCGCAGAAATAGACGATTTACTTCCAATGACGGTAAGAACATGGAAAATCGTAATTCTGACACCACCCATCGCGTACTCACCTGCAACGCCAGAAAACAAGTTTGAATCCTTTGTCATCAGGGCGTAAACGCATCAAGCGCGCCAAAATCGAGAAACGGGAATGGGCGCATGTTGTAGATATCAATAAGCCCATGAAGAACTTCCACGAGTTAGTGCCCGAGATGGCACACAAGGTCAGAATCGGCGGTAGTCCAGTGACCACTTATATGCGCTGACCTGATAGCTCTCCAGTATCCTTTCGAACTTGATACTTTCCAGAAGGAGGCCGTGTATCATCTGGAGATGGGCGACTCTGTCTTCGTCGCTGCTCACACGTCCGCCGGGAAGACTGTCGTAGCGGAATACGCGATAGCTCTAGCGGAGAAACACATGACAAGGTTGGCTTCCGCCCTTTTTTTCTGACAGACTTCGTGTTGATACTGCCCCCTAGAGCGATCTATACATCTCCCATCAAGGCTCTCTCCAATCAAAAATTCAGGGATTTCAAGCAAACTTTCTCGTCCCAATCTGTCGGCATCTTGACCGGAGATGTGCAGATCAACCCTGAAGCAAGTTGTCTCGTGATGACGACCGAGATTCTGAGAAGCATGCTGTACAAAGGTGCAGACCTCATTCGAGACGTTGAATTTGTCATATTTGATGAAGTCCACTACGTCAATGATGCTGAGGTACGGGTTTTCTTGTCAGTTTTTGTCAGAGTTCGACACCTGACTGGAGTCAGAGAGGTGTCGTTTGGGAAGAGGTCATCATTATGCTTCCAGACCATGTCAATATAATCCTTCTGTCTGCGACTGTTCCTAATGCGAAGGAATTCGCAGACTGGGTTGGGTGAGCATACGAAACCCTGTGGCATGGTGTGGTAACCTTACTGACCGAACCAGGCGGACGAAGAAAAAGGATATCTATGTAATCTCTACAGCGCAACGTCCAGTGCCATTGGAGCACTTCCTCTATGCTGGGCGCGAGTTGTACAAGATCGTCGACGCGAAGCGGAATTTCCTGGGTCTAGGGTAAGGTCCCGTCCTGGACATTGTGAATACACACCTTGACAGTGTGTTAGATACAAGGATGCAGGAGAAGCACTCAGACGTAAACAGGACAAGGAACGGGAAGCCGCTGGTTTGCCACCTGTTCAGCGCGTTGGCGCTCGAGGCGCTGCTCCAGCCCAGCGAGGCCAACGTGGAGGGCAGCGTGGTGGCCCGCCGACGCGGGGATCATCTGGACGTGGAGGTGCTGGGGTTCGAGGAGGGGGGCCACAAAGGACGGTTCATCAAGGGACGGATAAGAGTCTTTACGTGCACTTACTTGGCCATCTCAAGAAGAAGTCGTTATTGCCCGTTGTCATATTCACGTTCTCCAAGAAGCGTTGTGAGGAGAATGCGGCAACGCTTGTCAACTTGGATCTGTGCACAGCCTTGGATAAGAGCGAAATCCACGTAACGATTGAGAAGGCATTGTCAAGACTAGAGGGTAAGTGGATATCCGCAGTGTTTATGGTTAACATCTCACTTTTCGTAGCATCTGACAAGAAGCTACCTCAAATCAGTCGTATGAGGGACCTCCTTTCCCGCGGCATTGGTGTTCACCACGGTGGTTTGCTTCCTATTGTGAAAGAAGTCGTCGAGATCCTGTTTGCACGGGGACTGGTCAAAGTCCTGTTCGCCACGGAAACCTTCGCTATGGTAAGGCATCGTAGTCTTCCTTAGTTCGTCTCCCCCTCAGATTGACCTAGGGAGTCAATATGCCCGCTAAATGCGTCGTCTTCTCCGGAACTCGAAAACACGACGGGCGCAGCTTTAGAGATATTCTGCCCGGTGAGTATACCCAGATGGCTGGCCGCGCGGGTCGTCGTGGTCTGGACACTACCGGTACTGTGATCATTATTGCGAATGACAACATCCCGGAGGTAGGCCTGTCACAGCTTCTCGCGTACGCGACGCTGAAAGAGTGCCCAGCAAACCACGCTTCAACACATGATCCTCGGGACTCCCGCGAGACTCCAATCCCAATTCCGACTGACGTACAACATGATCCTGAATTTGCTCCGTGTTGAGGCGTTAAGAGTGGAGGAGATGATCAAGCGCAGCTTCTCTGAAAACGCGACGCAGAAGCTACTCCCTGATCATCAAAAGAAGGTGATAGAGGTTAGTACAGCGGTGAACCAATCTGTGATTGTAGGCTTATTCACGCACCGAAGAGCGAGAAAAAGCTTGCCTCGTTCCCCACACTCGACCCTGATATTGAGGCCTATTATGACGCATCGTTTGACATCGTCACTCTGACCCGACAACTGGTGGCTATTGGAAACAAATATCTCACGTCTGGAAGGGTAGTCATTCTCCGAGATGGTGTACGCATGTCGCTGTTTGTTTCGGGTCCAGCAATGGCCTGACTCTATGACAGCATTTCAAGTCTAATGTCGCAACGATCTTGAAGCCTACCAGAGGGCCCACGGATGATTCGAAGATGTTCCTGGTCTTGGCACTGGTCGATCCCGAGACACGAAGCAGGAAGTATGGTAAGTACAGAAGAACAAATGAGCGGCCCAGCTCATTCATTCGTTCCCTTTCTAGACGTCGACTATGATGCGATGCCGCCTCGCTGGCCGATAGATCCTCACTCTTTGAAGGTCAGAGAGGCCAACTACGAGATCCTCCGAGTACCGTGGAAGAGCATCGCGATGATCACAAATCAGAATATCAAGGTGAGGTTGAATGCGTACAAACTAAACATGCAGCTCCACAACCTGTCTCATAGGTCGACTTGGTCGCTATTCTCACTCGTCGCTGGATATCTGCCATGCGCGAGGTTACGAGGGCACTTGTCGCCCTTGTCGATGAGTGGTGTAATGTTGGCGAAGTCCCGGAAATCAACTGGGGTAAACAGCGGTCACTCGAGATGCAGGAGGTCTTGCAAGCTCGAGATGAATTGACGAAGCAACTGGCCGATAAGGCCTTTTGCACGTCTCGCCCCGAGTTTGATGAGCACGTATGTCTGAATTGCTCCACAGCTAGTGCATTGACTAAATGGTATCCTTAGTATTCCGTAGTTCACGCAGAGAAAGTGCTCCGTGCGAGCATAGCGAACCTCAAGATGGCAATATCAGATCAGAACCTGGAGCTCATACCCGATTACGAGCAGCGGATCGCTGTCCTCCAGGAGCTGCAGTTCATTGACGAGAACTCTACTGTTTTACTGAAAGGACGCGTAGCTTGCGAGGTTCGTCCAGTGTAGCCTACAATATCCTTGGTACTGATACTTTATTCAGATCAATTCTGCAAATGAACTCGTGCTTACAGAGCTCATCCTCGAAAATATGCTGGCAGTATACGATCCGGAAGAAGTTGTCGCATTGCTTTCGTGTTTCGTCTTCCAAGAGAAAACAGACGTCGAGCCGGAACTACCGCCGAAGCTGCAGGAAGGTCGGGATGCAATCATCGCGATCAACGAAAGGGTTAGCAAGGTACAGGAGGCCCATCAAGTACCGGGCGAAGAGTTCCGTCAGTTAAAGTTCGGCTTGATGGAAGTCGTCTACGAGTGGGCAAAAGGAATGGTATGCGTCTACTGATTTCTCTATCCTGATCCCATTCCCACTGCTGTGTCACAGCCGTTCTCGCAGATCACTGCGTTGACTGACGTCGCAGAAGGTACTATTGTACGTGTCATCACTCGACTCGATGAGACCTGTCGCGAAGTGCGAGACGCCGCGCGAGTAATTGGAGACGCGGACTTGATGAAGAAGATGGAAGAAGCTCAACTAAAGATCAAAAGAGATAGTGAGTGCGATGTGTCCTTCTCACTAGTCCCAGATCCTCACAGACCATCTATAGTTGTCTTTGCGGCTAGTCTGTATTTCTAGACCCTCTGGAATATTGTGTAGTCTTCTCTGTATCGTTAGATAGTATGGATAGAGAATCGACCTTGTGTATGTGCGCAGACATGGCTAGAGCCACACTAGATGCAGACTTAAGCGGTGACTGGGGTCGTACTAAGAACATCTGCCACAATATGATTCCGCGCTCGAAAGGTCATACGTGCGTCTTACATCCCTGGCGTCAGTGTTTTCCTGTGAACTGCCACACCCACGTTCCTTCAAATGTCTCTCAAGCGTCCCCTTACCAGCGTCGATACCCATTTCTTGGAGGTTGACTCACCTGGCCACGTCCACAAGAAGACGGCGTCCGCGTCCTTTGTTGTCGAGAATGAAGTCAACTCCGCCTGCTTCAGAACATACAACGCTACCCAAAAGTCCAGGCCCTTTTCTTCGGGAATTCCTAACCGAATGTGTGCCGAACTCCTTAAGGAGCTGGAAGCGCTTATTATTCCAGGGGTCACCACGGAGATGCCGCCATACGACATTCGACGAGAGCTGCAGAGACGGTACAATGTGGATCGTCGCCTGATCTATGACTGGTTCCGCGGCAAAGGCTTGAGGGTTAAGGAAGATAGGTTACTCGTCTCGTATTCTAGCCCGACACCTCGCCGTAATAGCCAACAGCACAGACAAGTATTGTCCCTATCTCCGCAAAGTTTCCCGAGTTTGACCATGTTGTCCTCGTAGATTACTATCCGTCATTGCTCTACCTCATCTGAGAACTCTCCTGTGTTATCTAGTTCCTCTTCGCTATCGCACTTCAACCGACTTGAAACGCCCTCGAGCATATATGCGTCTTCTCCTTCTCTCCCTGTGACACGGTCTGCTCCGGGTACCCCCGCCATTGGGCATCCTCGTGGCCTTGATATCTCTGGCTGCTCAGAAAAGACAGAGCGGCCCGCTGTCTCCTGGCCGTACGAAGCCTCGTATGCACCGGATCTTTATGAATCGCCCCTTCTTGATACCTCGCAGTATGACTTCTCTCCTGTTGTCGGTGAAGATGGCGAACTTTACTATGACGAAGAATACGATTCTCCCTGGCGTCCAGCAACCCTACTTGATTCTCTGGAATTTGGTGCCGAAGTCTCCCCTAGTCCGGAAGACCTGGTGCCCCTGGACCAACGGCCGCTCAAGCAGGAAGAACGCATAGCTGTCTATAACTTCATATCTGCTGCGATCGGCCCTGCTCACGGTATACAAGAGTCGGTCGGGACGTACGGTGCATACATGAAAGAACAGTCTGGCGCGCACTATGACCGTCTTTTAGCTCCCTATCAGAAAGAGCGACAACCTATAGAACGAAGCCATCTCGGCGCTCCTCCAAGTCCACATTCTAGCTCCGGCACTGTTATCGAGGGACATGGCCTTCACTTGGACGAAGTCATATGGGTTCCCGTGTCGACGATCGCTTCTACTCTTCACCCCAGCCAAGCGCTTGACCGAAGTTCGACGCACCCCCCTTCGGAGGTCGGAGACCACCGATCCAATGAAAGGCCTCTGTACCCTGAGCCGATATCCAAGAGCAGGAAATTGGTGTTCTTGTCTGAATCTTACGGCGCCTACTCCGGCTCGTCATCGAAGAGTTCTGTCTCCGTGCTTTCGCCTCCCGAGCGTCGCATCTCCATGGATGAGGTTCTTAGTTCCCGTCAATCAGCCCGACCTTGCCTCGTCCATCGCTACGAACACGGTGGAAAAGTGCGCGGCGGAAGACCTCGGACAACCTCCGCTGGCGGCGGTCTTTGATTGTATGATCGTCACTATCAATTAGGCTTCGACTCCCGTCGTCTACCACATACATATGTTAATCCGCCCTACTGTTAGCTGTTTCCTGGCGTCACCTTGTCTATGAATGATTGTATCCCTCCTTGCCAGAAAATGTTGAGATGCTTTCCTGAAAGTCAAGTTCATCTGGAAACCACAAAAACATTTCAGCTAGATTCGTTATGCGATCCAGTCTTAGCCAGATGCACTAACTCGGCAGCGGACTTTCCGCTCCCAAAAAGTGTCACCGCTCACATCGTTGCACGAATAATATGGCGTGAACAGTGTTGCAAAAGTGAGTCAAAGAGTCCTTCGACCCGGGCTCGAACCAGGGACCTTGAGATGGCGATGTTACCCATTACAGTCTCACGCTCTTCCAACTGAGCTATCGAAGGTTATAATAGTGTGAGATCCCTACATAATCATAAATCTACAGCCTCGTAGTGGCTTACATTCCATTGTCCTAATGCTGTTCCTGGAGAATAACACGAGTATTGGCACTACCCAGAAGACATACCATAGGACGGAACAAACCGAGACTGAGATAATGCAACTTGGCGTCTCCGGGGCATCTAGAAAGACCGTCATCCACGAATCCGTGAAGTTCCCATCCATGGCCAGGGCGGGATGCAACGCGAGAGAGAATTCGAAGGTCAAACAGGGGTTCAGATGATCATCCACCACCGGAAGGGTGTAGCATTTAGAGGACAACCTACAGCCTCAGTAGAATCCAGGCGTAGGGGCAGAACTCCTGGGACCCTCTGAATCTATTGCAAAATAGATGAGATATGATTGTATCTTGCTCATGAACAGTCCCACCAAAATCGGCTGAATTATTGCTCCGTCTAGCTCTAAGCATTATAACGGTCGAACTGTAATATATGTCCGACGTGGTCGTGGAACGAAGTAGCCGCAGGGCAACTAGGCTGCGCTGATTCCCTATGGCCCGATGTCCGACTTGGTCGCGCACGACCTGGGAACTATCGACTAGAATTTGTCACCGACGCGTACAGTGGTATCGTCGCTATGCTTGCCTCGTCCATATGTCCTTGGATTGCCTGTGGATGGTATAGGCTGTGTCCCAGGCTCGACTTTGCTTCATGAAGGCTAGCAGGAGTGACACCGGATACGTCTGCGAGGATAACGACCTTCTTCCACTATGGCGCGGGTCAACGAGCAGTCGTTTTCTGCGGCGCGAGAAGCGTTCTTTCGTGGGTCACGGCGACCCTGCAGCCTCGATTGGATCCGCATCCGGCGCATTCGGGTCCGCGTAGGAGGAAGTAGCCACCTGGGCAGGATCTGCTAGCATCCGGATTTGCGGGTTCTTCGCCAGCCAGTCGCGGATCAAGTCCTTCCGGGGCTCGAGCTTATGTGCCCAGAGTGCCGCCAGATCGGAAGGGAGTTCCACGTTGGCATCTGGAGAGGGTGAGGGGGGCTCTGCTGTAATGACGACCGGCATACCTTCACAGGCTTTGATGATGAGCGAGGCGGCGTCCTCGCTGTCCTCGCTAGATATGAATGACGCAGAATCTTCCGGTGTACTCGGAAAAGTCGGAGAAGCGGACGAGTTGCCCCTCTCCATCGTCGCAACCCCAGTTCCGACCTCGATGTCGGTCTGGAGAGCAAGAGGATGGGTAGGAATATCCTTGCCGGGGTTAAGGTAATGGAAGACACCGAGGGCGAACCTGATGAAAAGGAGATAGCCGTCTGTGCGACGCGGCAATGCAAGAGTCGTGCAATGAAGGTCAACAGCCCAGTTCTCAGGAGACAGACAATACGCCATAAACTCTCCGTTCGCAGGGATGTACAACATCAGGTGTGCATCCCAGAGTTTGTGGACGTCGGAGCTGTGAGTTAACATATTGCGGACGTCGTGTACCACATCCGTTCCCGAAAAACCCATCGGTATGACGAAGGGCGGGCTGAGATGGAAGAAAATCGAGTGATGAGTATACTACAGGCGATTAGCATCTGCAGGACCGAAGGACAGCGTGGAAAACATACCCAGTTCGCGTACTCTTCTGGTATGATGTGAGCGGTTTCTAAAGGAGCCATGGAACCAGAGAGCGCGCATTCCCGGTCCATTGCCGTCACTCAGCGGCTCACTTCGATTGGGTTCGCTCCCCAGCTGGAGTTCCAATCGATACCTCCAATACCGGGAGTTCGCTGGGCTGGAGGATCGCGAGGAATCGCGGTGGTGAACCAACGACTGGGCAGTTGTGCCCTTGCGGGGGGCTTCCAGTGGGTAAAACGTTTGAAAATACCGTAGTTGTGCCCGGGATTGCTAGGATCCAAGACGAGATAATATCTGCCGGCATCAATGAGGATTGAATGAACGGGCTGTGTCCCCTCTCGGTCTCTGCAGAGAACAGAGCGATATGTATAGTCGCCAGTGAGAATTGCGCAGAGGTCGAGAACGACGTCAAGGGGAATGCAGGGATTAATGCTCAAGGACCCATCGCCGAGCGGACAGCGGCGCAGAGGCAGAGTGATGAGCAAGCTGTCTGAGAGCTCGGGTGGACATGGATGTAGGATAACAAGACCGTCGACTTCGCTTTGAGTTGGTTGCGCTCTTCGACATGTCCGAATCGTCTGCATGCTTGGACGTCGGGCGTGAGTTCTGAGTCTTGTGACAGACAAGACGACCGGACCCCGAACACCGAGGCCACAATAACACTCGGCCCCACAACGCTCGTTTCCGCTCAGCGGTCACCGACCATGAAGACACTTACCGCGCTGTCCTTACTCTTCTCTCTCCAGGCGGCGCGCGGTCATGCTGGCCATGAGGGGCCCGCGTCAGGCGAGACCATTCAGCAGTATGCACAGAGACACGTACGTCCAATTGCTTCGAAAGTACACCGGCGGCGGGAGTGCTAACATGGATGTTCATACAGATGGTTACTGAGCATCACATGTATGTCGGCTACCTTTCCACGAGACCACAGGACTAAGAGCTTGATGTACAATCCAGCGACTCGTTTGACTTGAGGAGTTTCTTCCAGCTGCATGACCTCAACCGGTTTGTTGTCTAGTCCACAATTCACAGCATTGGCTCATCGGGTTGCATGAAGGGACGGAGTCTGGGACCGGGATGAAATCGAGGCCATCTACGGTGTGCACCACGTCTATTCGCAGAAGAAGTCCAAGGTACACTCCCATCCGTGTATCTCCCCTCCCACCTCCTCGCTCATTCCTCACCTCAGGATGAAGTAGAGCACCAGAAGAAGGCGGACACGATTGCTAACACTGTGCTTGATCTACTGGACAAGAACAAGGATGGCAAGGTGACACCAGAGGAGTTTGAAGCTGTCGGTTTGGACGGACTGCCCAATTTCGAGGAGCTGGGAGCGGAGGGACACCATTACGACGTCGAGAGCGGTACGTATCTATCCCTTGCTTTCATATATGCTACGTAACACAGCTCTTACATTTCCTCAGAATTCTTCCTCCACCACGAAGGTACGTCCCCCCGTCCCCTCGCAGTAACCGAAACCAACCCACTCACATCCTCCACAGAACTATACCACTCCACCCCCGAAACGCAAACCGACGAATCCTACAACCACCCCGAGGACATCGAGCACTTTGCGCAGCACGAGCAAATCGAGCGCGCCGAGGCCGAACGCGAGGCCAAGTTCCAGGGCATCTCCGTCGAGGAAGCCATAGCCCAGCACGACCCGGACAACCCGGATAACCAAATCCCCGAAGTCCCTGCGCCCGGAACGCCAGTCCCGCCTCCAGCACCAGACGCAGCGCAGGTCCCCATCGTGGAGCATCCGCACGATGACCAGCTGCCAAAGGACGACGGCCTCCCGAAGGAGCCGGACACGACCGTCATCGGGAAGCCCAGGGCTACGAGAGTGACGCCTCCCGAGAAGCAGGCGCCCGAGATTCGGTACAAGGATGCGAAGCTGCAGGGCGAGAGCCAGGCAGAGTGGGGCGCTGGAGCCGAGGGGTACAAGTCGCCAAAGTCTCCTGCAGATCGGATGAGGTGCGCATACACTTGCAGTTTTCAAGTTCCATGTCTGTGAGGATTTGACTGACCTGGTTACGGTCCCCTCCACAGGAAAAACTTGCCGTACAAGGTACAGTCCGCGCAATTCTTCGGATGCACATGTAAGAACGCTGACCTCTAGAACCGTATGCAGTACAAGTTCCGTCGTAGCTGGGGTGACTTCTAGGCGTGCAGCTGGGAGCTTCTTATTTATGGTCTATACTCTATATCGTTCTATGCATTCGTCGATCCATGGTGTACCGGGCCGCTGTATCAAAGCTAAACTCTGGAATCCACATCTGCCATTAAATAAATCAATCGTGAACCGGGTATATTTCCGTCAATCAGCTAGCATATGCGACACCATGGTACAATGGTCATAGATAAATATCATAGTCAGCAAGTCCGTTCCTACCGTCCGTCAAACATGTCTTCTACGAGACCGCGCTCTACCGCTTCCCAGTCGACGTTGCCGCCGCTGGCGTACATGCTCTCGTACGACGCTATGCTCACATGCGAGAAGAACGGCACCAAATCGCGGATACTGTCGATCTGCCGTATCGAGTTCAGCATGGGCCGCCGCATGGGCCGGGGTTCAGTGAGGGGTGTGCTTGCGGGATGACTGATCATAGACTGCGACCCATTTGTCTGTGACGAAGATTGAACAAAGTCATGCCTTGCAGTCGAGCATATACGTACCTCAGCCACGGGAAGGTCGCCCGCGACTTCACCCAGTATATCGACCAGAGCCTCGGACGTCCAATTGTCAGGTCGGAAGACGGCGTCGACGGTGTCAGTAATAAACACCCATTGGTGGCTATGTTCTGCTTCAGGACGTATACCTCAGGAAAGCGGACACACACTCACATTTGGAACTCCTCCGTCTGCAGCACGAGCAATAAGTCTAAGAATTTGCTCGCTGATAAGATCAGAGACAGTTCTTCAGACCCATCTGAGGGTAGGCTCGTGATAGCTTGGTCAAATAGGCGGTACTGCAAGGAAGACTGATGAGAAGGATTATCATATTGAGCAAAGACGACCAAATACCAGTTCCGTCAGGATCACAGGCCAGAAACTTGTAAGGTTGTGCGGCGACAAGCGACAGAGGAGGACTCGAACGCATAGGTAGACTTCACTCTGGATCACAGGCGCCGGAGAGTTCCTCAGGACATCCACCAGCTTCTCCTGTATAGATGGTAACTGGGTTAGGAAGTGATTTTTGTCCGCAGCATACAGGGCGTAGGACAACCGGCGAAGGTTGAGCGAACGCAGAAGGTTTTCGTATTCTCGGTTAGTGAACAGCGTCGTCGATGATGCTGTAGCCACTTTGCCTGTGAAGCAGGGTGAGAAGGTTGGCAACAGGTATATGGGCCTGGCTTACTCATGAGTTCAGCGAACGCAGCGCGGTCAGCGTCAAAGAGTGCCTTGATAATGTCTTTCCATTTTGAACCGGCCTCCGGCGATGAGTTGAAAAATCTATTGTCATTCAGTGCCTCGACAACGGGACCTCGCCAAGCTTTCAGGGCAGATTGAATCCTTGTCATCTGACGAATGATGTCTAGGACAGCAGGGTCGATATCCAAGGGCCTATACAGGTGTGAGTGTCCATCCTTGGCCAAGCTTGGTAGACACCATACCTTTGTTTACCCTTCATGGCGGGACTAATCACGTAATATGCGATGTTGCTGCAGGCTGTAGATACTTTGTCCGTTTCGAATAGCAACTTGCGAAGGTCGGGAATGACCGAACTGGCGAGGAACGCATGTATCTGCAGTCGCGTGGATAAGATGCCTCATTGATACGCATATGCGCTCACTTGGTCTACAAGCTCGCCGCTCTCCTGAGAAGCGCTCGCACCATACTTCTCATCCAACTTGCTATCAGAAGCAGCTGATGCAGACCGGGATCAGACAATGCGGAAGGTAGCTATCAAGAGGCGGCTCACATCGTGGAATAGGAGAGTCCCTGCCATTGACAGTCAAAGATTCCTTCGGGGCACGTCTTATCCATGTCCCTTGATCTGAAGTCCGGCTGGCGATGGTCAAACATGTATCGAGCAACTTTGAAAAGGTGTCCTGTATGTCCTTCCGAACGCGGCGATCCTCTGTCGCAAAGGTCTGCACGAGTTTGTCCCCCATGACGACGACGCATCTGGAGGGCTTGGGAACAGTGCCGCAAGGTCAATAACTGATCCTCCTACCTCAGAATAGGGAACGCCTGGGACTTCGTTTCGCGAATGTTGTTCATGATCTCCCTAGCTAACTGCAACACACGACTCCACACTTGAAGGGCCAGTGGGGTCTCCAATTGAACCAAATACGTCTCGAGGAAGCGGAACAGCATAGCATCAGAACTACATGACGACTTCAGTCATGCATGAGAATCGGGGGATGATTTGTACTCACACGTATGGAGCCAGTGACTGTCTTCGCGATCTTTCCTGGTTGCCGCTGGATATGCGCAACGAGATACTTTCGCATACCATGTGCACAACGTTGTGAGCGCTCGCAGTGAGCGCATCCACAAGCTCAAAAGCGCGGTTGGCCTGCAACGGCTCGTCCTGGTGACAAAGGAGAACTTAGTATAGTGAGCTGGGGGAATGTCCGGAAACATACGACACAGTTTTTGCTCCAGCAGTCTACAATCGATTCGAGGACTTCCGACGACTGGGCACGGAATATATGCTCTAGCACCCTCCTGCACCGCGTCCGAGAGCGATTATAGATCACAACCAGGGTATGATCTTTGGGGCTAAGGGATACAGGTGCTGTCCATACCATTGCGACCCAGAGTGAGTACAGCGTTCGGACTGCTTCATGGAGGCAACGGTAGCCTGTTGAACGAGCCTACAGCCCACCAGTATAAGCCTCAAAGACGGAGAGACAACAGTGCGGAAACTGACCGCTGAATGCTCTTCAGGTAGATTAGACATATTATCTGAGCTGAAGACGTTCGACATGTAGCCGAGAAGACCACTGGATTCTTGCTGCCCTTTCTCTGGCATCTCGTCTTCAGGCTGGTTCACACCGACGGGGCGATCCAAACTAAGGAGCACTAGACGCTCCAACACGTTGCAAAACATCAGGACTTCCGAGTCCGTCGTTGAGGAAGCAAGATCTACAGTATCGGCATCATTCGACCCCGAGGCCTGGATGAGATCTGTTAGGGCGGACTGCAACTGGCGACAGACGCAATCATTCAACGGAGCTATCGCGGGTTTGAACGGACGATCGAACTGGGGAATAGTAGTGAGAATGAAGTCCAGCCAATGTTGCAAAACAGGCCGGTTGGTAGGAATACTAATGCCGTCAACCAGCGTTTGTATCAGAAGTTGATTGATCGTGTAACTGGGGACCGGGGGCTCCATCGACGGATCCTTAGTACCTTGAGCATCGCTGGGATCGTCCCTTGGGTTACCGGAGTGATAGGTGCCGACGTCAGAAGAAGCAACAATAGAGTGAAGGAGATGCAGGAGTTTGTTTTGTAGATCAAGACGAACGAGGTGAACTGTAGCGTAGAGCTTTCCGACCACGGCGGATTCGACAGTTTGAATAGACACGTTGTCGAACTCTCCTCTTGCCACTAATGATTGTAGCAGATCGATCGTTGTGGCTTGAATCACATTGCTCCACGGACCTAAACTCCTCGCAAAACGCGTGGAAGGCTCCGACTGCAGATATCTGAGGAAAAGAACCTGCGTGGGTGACGAAACCACAGAAGAAAAGTAACGATTACTACCTGAGGAGGAGTTCGAGGAGAACATCCATGTACGTCGCCTGAGCCTGAGCTGGTAAGACTGTACGACCGAAACCGTCGATGTCATAAAGGGGTAAGGTAAAAGAGGTATCACTCCATACCTTTCTCAACACGATCTACAAGCTCCCTGTTTTGCGTGCGCCTCACCCCATTGCTCCTTGCAGTCTTGACGAAGCCCTGACCACCGAACCGGATAACTGACAGTAGAATCTCCAGAACATGGTTTATATAATTTTGATCGAATGGGCGTTCGTATAGAAATATCGGTAACTCTTTGCCATTTAGCATGCTCGAAGAGGGTACCCGGCGAATGGAAGGATCTAGTAGGTCATACAGAATCGGGTCAAGAACCCTGGAAACATATATGAGAATAGCGAATGGGAAAAGCTTTAATCTTACCTCATGTAAGATTTCAGACTGCAACGCATCCAAGTCTCACCGACTCGCCGTAGATGGGGGTCGTCATTCTTTAGGGTCTCGAGCACAATCATCATCGGTGTCTTCAGGCGGAATCCGGGTAGGAGATGGTCATCTGTTAGTCTCCACAGCACGCCAAAAGCTTCGTAGGCCTCCTGGATATTTCGGGATTCGGGTGACATCAAGTTCTGAGCGATGATGGACTCCACATGTGGGCGCAACGTAGCATCCTCCAAAGACCAAATGAGGTTCACAGCTCGCACATGATAGGCAGTCCTATTGGGGCGAAGGTACTTGAAGAGCTGAGGCACATAGTATTAGCGGAGGGGTCAGTGCAGTGTCTAGGGAGGCAACGCACCGTGTTAACCATCCTGGACATGAGCGGTCGGGTGTCAATGGATATGCTGGGTTCGAGCCCTTGAGACTGATGGATTGCCACCACTGCGGTGACAATACGATCTACAATCACAAACGTCGTGCTCTACATCATATGTGAAATCGTAAAAGATGAGTATAACGGTATGGCTTACCTCCAGCGTCTCGAGCATGACCGAGAGCCACTCATCAGGAACCCAAGTTAAGTTGAGCACCCCCAGATCGCTATCGAATCGGGCGACGAGACGAGTGATAATATGCAGCGATCGATCGAGAAGAGCCTGTGCTCGCTCATGGTTGCCGCCTGCCGTGATGAGAGCGCGTGCAGCAATCATGCTGACTTGAGTGAAGTCGTCAAACGCAGTGACCAGCGGTAAACTCGCAGAAGTTCTCTCGCTAGTCACCTTGTTACTGGGTTCAATACCGTAAAATGTGCAAGCAAAAGTACTAGGGCCCTGAGTCTCCGCAGCCGTAAGGGTGTTACCGGTTAACTCAGGGCGCTGGCGCAATGCCAAAGGCGGAATTTGCTTGGACAGTTCTTCCAAGAGCAAGATTGACCCGTGCACGCCCTCTTGCGAGACCCTAGATGGGTCCTCCGCGAGAAATGACTATACCACGTCGAACTATTAGCGAAAATTCAGATTCAACCGCCACACGATAATACCTTGGTCGTCTCAAGGATCGCTGCAAACACCATCGGCAGATGAAATGTCAGCACTTCCTCGTCGTGTTTGAACGTTCTCAGAACGAATACTGCCATCCTAATCGCCTGCGAATTCCGTTAGCACGCAAAGAAAGGCAAATGGTCGGTAGAACAGACCTCGCAGGAACGGCCCTCGCTTCTGATCTCCGACAAAATGCGACTGAGGAGGTCCTTCCAGAGAGCGTGCGGTTCGATGGCTTCGTAAAGAGTGCTCGCAGTCATGAGTACCTTGTTTCCGTTCGATCAATGACTACTATTTCGCGTCAAAATGGGGACGCACATCGTCGCTGTCTTCCTGTTGTATCTCCAGGATTCTGCGAATCGCTATAAACGCATCGTAAACGATGGCTTCGGTCAGCGGCCCGCCGATTTCCCATTTGTCTAACAAAGAGACGAAAATCTTAAACGGGCGAGATTCAGCATAGTCAGGTAATGGAGGTCGCATTTCTTCCTAGGTAAACGCGTGATGTCAGTTCCTTGCAAGTAGATTCCGCGTCAAACTTAACCCACCAGTAACGTAGACTTTAAAAGATCGAGCGAGTGCTTCTTGAAAAATTCGATCATCTGTGGACTTTGCTCGGCCGAGCTCAAGACCCATGTGAAGAACCGCCTGTTGAGGGATAGATCTCGTCGCAGTACAACCCCTACAGCAGCTCTCATGAGAATGATACGATCTTGCACTTGGGCTGTCTTCAAGGCTCGGCTCTCGATCCGAAGCGACTGTAACAAGAGGTCAAGGGCAGCGCGCCTAACTAAAAGATTCTCGTCTTCCAGCGCAGCTGCGAAGGCCCTTATCATCAAACCAACGTCCTGGCCGACGATGGGGGTTATATCTAACGACGAAGTCAGTACCATTCTATGGCGTCGCGAGACAAAACTACCTTCGTCTGGATGCATTTTCGGCAAACGTCGAGAGACGAAGTTGAGGGCTGTTAGTCGCGCAGCAGGAGTTGTCAACATCACGAGCCAGACGTTCTGGAAAAGGAACGCAGGAGAGATTGTCCCTGAAAGTCTGTCAAGTAAGCCAAGGACCTAATCTATCGGTTCTTAGAAGAAGTAGTCGATACCAAGTGGAACTGCTTGCCTTGTCAAAGAATTCTCCAGTCTCCTCTTCTAAGCCCGGTAACAAAGCCAATATGAAGGCCTTCATTGCTGGTCGCAGACCCTCTTGCAAAGGCAGATAGTGCACTTCGTAAATGTTAAGAACGATAGGCTAATAGGCAGTTAAGTTTCTCGTTATAACGAACGTTCCATTCTTCCACATACCCGAACGGATGTGGATGCATACTCAAAGAAAGGGAATAGCCCCGAGGACCACAGATGCAGGTCACGCTTCAAGCCATCGGACTGCATGGGATCAGCATTCAGTTCTTCAAGCTAAGAAAGTGTTACACACCCCAATAACGGCCAGGATATGGGAATAGACATCTAATGCTCGCTGGTGGACTCCGGCAGGCAGTGCAGGGTTCAGACATTGTGCCAAACGTTTGGATACGACGAGTTTGCGCGGAATCTCCTTGAAGTGCTGATACGACTGAAGAGTCTGGAGTACATCGCCGTGTAAGAGGTATGCCCTTCGTGCCCTCAGGCAGGTGACTAAATCCTCGCACCTTCAGCAGCTGCTTGAGGAACGCAATGAAGTCCGCCCATTCATGCACACTATCGAACGTGTTCAAACATTTCTCCACTTGCGACGTATACTTCTTGAACTTTGGATCTGCAGCATATAACTGTTGCGAACTGACTACTCTCCTTCCGGAATCAGACCAAATACGATCAAGACACGGACGAAGGGCACCAACCGCGCTCCTTGATCAAGGCAGAGATACGACCCGACTCCTCTTTCTTGTCATGCGTCCCGGTATCAGGAATACGAGGTGTACTTGTCATAGAGTAGTGTGGCTGCCTACAGCTTGCAGCAGTGTACCAGAGCAAGCTTGCCTACGGCTACCGTACAGTAGGCGTCGCGTCACCGGACCGTCGTAAGCGACACGACTGCGCCACAGCAGCCACACACGCGTCTGCCATACCAGCATCGCACGACGCAGGATGTGCGAAGTCGGGCGTAGCATATGAATCCACAATGATATTACACCAGATTATACGAGTACAACAACGACATATGCATACGACTAGCAAAGCAAAGAACAACAAGGTCTACACAGGAAGCGAGAATGTCCGAAACGAAGATTGTCATGACTGTACGACGTCCATGGGTTCTGCGACCTCTGAGGGGCTTGCTTCCGGGGAGTACGATGCAATGCTCGTTCGCATCTTCGAGGGCTCCCTTGGGACGTGCATCTCTGGAACCACAGAAACCGAGCGTGAAGATGTCGCAGTCGATATGGGTCCCGACAAGTCAGGTCTGCCTTTGCTCTTGGGTGTGGTCTTCCCAGACGCGGATTGCCCTTGCAGAGCGAGAGAAGCTAGCTTTGGCAGGGCTAGAGTGGCAGCCTCAGGGGCAAGATGAGGGGGCGCTTGCTTTTCCGACGTCGCAGCGGAAAGCTCTGAGTCCTTGTCTCCGACCCATGAGCGGACGAACCACCTGCCGCCCGCGATGCCTCGGATTTCGCGCTGGGCCTGGCGCCAGTGACGGACCTTCTTGCCGCTCTTATCTAGGGGCAGGGCAGGCGCGAAGCCCGAGGCGATTTTCACTGGGGCCTGCACCGGGAAAGGTTTGTTGGGCAACGGATAAAGAGGCAGAGGGACGTTTTCCAGGCCGAACTCGTCCAGGGTTTGATGCGTGAGTCCAGAGACGCTGACGCTCTCCAGCTCGTCATCTTGGTGGCCTGGAGATGACGGTGCAGTACCAGGGTATACTGAGAGAGTAGCGTAAAGTCCCGTTGGTTAACTTTGTATCCAAATGAGACTTACTTTCACTGAGGGTTTCACCGTCGTCGATGTGAGGGACGTGCGGTATTGGATTGCTTCTTGCACTTGCCGTCCTTACAACAATAATTTGTGTCAGCAATATAGTGCGACGAGTCTGAAGGCTTACTTAGTGATACCTCTGCCTCTTCCCCGGGTAGAACCCTTCTTAGGACCGGGCTTCTTCTTGACAGGCGTTGCTATCGAAGGCGTATTGCTGCCAACGCTGATCGTATCCCATTCGTGCATCTGGGGAAGCACCTGAGGCGGCATTTCGTTTCCTGCTTGTGCGAGATCAGCCGAGGACATTTCTGTTTCCACCACTGTCTCACCTAGGTGTCCAACATGCTCCTCTTGCGACTTGGTCCTGCCCTTAGTCCCAAGGGACTTCTCTTTCCTGGGACGCTTGGGTGCTTGCTTTCGCTTCGCCGGACTGCGAGCAGAGGGCAGCGAACTCTGGGACGCGGACGCCTGCATGGGTCCATCGTCGTCATCATCAATGAGCTGGTCTTCCTCCTCCTCCTCTTCATCCTCGTCGGTCTCGCCGACGGTCTGTTTTGAAGGGGACGAAGACGCGCCCTTGTTCTCGTTTACCAGCAGTTTCACGCGGAACTTGCTCGTGCGCACAGGTGGGGGGCTGTCCTCCTCCCGCAGAGTGGAAATTTGGGGAGCGTCCATGTCGACATCCTCCATGTGGTGCGAGTAGCGGAACTGGTCAGCGAAGAAAGCGCGCGGTTCCTCGTCGTTTCTGCTCGGGTTGGCGGGGTCGTAACTGATCCAGGGTGAAGCACGAAACATAATCCTGATTTGCTTCCTAATTAACGCCACCGTGAAGGTGGTGCTCGGCAGCTCAGCGCTAATCATGCTACTTCGAATTCAGGTGGCTATATATGAGCTCCTGTATGACACTATACAATTATCATAGTTTTATACATGTCCATAATGCACTATACAGCGCAAAGATGTAAGATACAGATTGAACGCGATGAGAGGGAAGGGCTCATGCGTAGATCCGCTACAGTCCGATATGAATTGGGCAGTCCGTTTCCTTCCCTAGGCAAGTCAACCGTCTACGGCTATCCCATCACTCGCCAATTAATGTCGCGCAAGCGTTACGAGTGGAGGGGGTATCTAGTTTGGCTGCAAAAATCCCGAGGTGAGCTCGACGTTGTCTTTGAACTCAAGAACTCACTGTAGGATTAGGGGACGCACCGGACCACGGTTGAATGATTCTTGGAGAAGTGCCTTCGTACCCCTCCCATTTACCAAGGTCATCGTGGACGTCCATCATACGCGTCCCGTAGAATATATGCGCAGTGGGTTTGATCTTCTCCCAATTCATGATCTTGCCATCCTCCCCGCGCTGCAACTGCGCACCCCAGACGCTCCAGTGGCTGGTCTTCGCGTTATGCGAGGCAACCGTGCAGCCGCACTGCTTGCATCGATAGCGGGTTTTCCACGGCTTCTCGGGGACGTTGTATGAATCTAATCGCGAAAGGTGGAATCCCGGATGGGTCCAGGCAAATGCGGATGCGTCGTAGTGGATCGTATGCACAAATGGACATCCTATAGACAAATCAGGACAAGATAGCTGTAAAGATAGGTGGTCATTTACCCGTCATGCGCTGACATTTCGTGCAGTGACAAAAAGCACTCAGCACAGGGGTCCCATAAACCTCGTACGAGACCCCCCCGCAGAAACAAGACCCTTGAATCACGTCTTCGTCTTCCTGCGGGTCTACCTGCTCTGGAGAGCTCGACATCGTGTATGGTCAAGCTTACAGTGCAATTGCAGCGCTTCCGGTTTTGCAGGCCCTTGCGTCATGTGAAGCGGCAACCGCACCCAAGTCACTCCTGTGCCTGAAGCGCTCGACGCAACATTTATTCTGGTATCGATTGTACGGAGCCTGTAAAAGAACATATGCGTAGTAATACCAGAAAAATGCCGCGTCTATATGAGTACGGCCAGTGAAAGACGGAAATGAGGAAGTCAGAAGTCCTGGCGAAAGTGGACAAACATATCTGCTTACGTAAGCGTTTCGCCGACATTGCCCGATCGAGGCAGACCCAATGTCCTCCCCATCATCCACAGGCAACGCCTAACTTTCCACGTAGCGGGTGAGTTGATACAGCGAACCATCTGAGGCATTTACTAAGTCGCGCGTTGTACTTTGGAATTCCACCAAGTCTAAAGGTCTTAGGTGCACTCGGGGTATTGCTGGCGACCACCGCACCGTTCAGGAACACGACCGGTCGAAAAAAGTAATACCACCATGGTGTCCTCAACAGTCAACGTACGTGCCCAATTATATCGAAGTAATGCTCTTTAAACAAACAAGAGTGTGCGGCACAGGTGGTCCGATACAGCGCGCTCGTGTCTGGCGTCTTCTACGGTATCGTGCACCGACGGTCACTCCAGAAGCAGCACGACGAGGAGAAGCGCCACCATGCTATCCACGAGCGGGAGAAGCTGATTGCGGAGGCGAAGGAGGCGTGGAAGAGAAAACAGGAGGGAGGCAAGGACGGTGGTAAGTCTTGTACTCCTTGCCCGTCCACCTGTCTCGAGCCAGCGTGCGCCTACGTTGTGTTCATTTCGGCGCCCCCCATCGCTTTTCTGTTCCATTGACATTGTCGCTGACTCTCGCGTGTTTGCCTCACCTCTGTTCCTGTAGTTGTGACGGATCCCGAAGACCCCCGCTTCGACCTAGAGAAGTTACTGGAGAAGTGGGAGAAGGACTACTCATAATGTCGATATCCGTTCCTCTAATATAGACCATTCTCCGGGATCTCCATGGAGGACTCGTTGCATGCGCAGGAATGTGAAGGCCTACATACTGCCTCTGCATTCGTTCGACACTACACATAACCCGGCACTATTATTCTTTGTGACAGACCCGTAGTCCAAAACGTATGCTGCATGTACTCCTCCCATACCCACATCCAACGTCGTTTATAGCAGCCATGTAACTTATACGTCTGCGGTCGTTCGGTACTCGAGTCCCTTGGGCTGACTTACCGATAAAACCAGTGAATGAAGGACCCTGAGCACCTTGATATGGTCATGGCCATTTGCCACCGATCGATTGCCTGCGTCCTGCCATTCCATCTAATCACCTTCCACTCCTCTGAGCCGCTACTGCCCTAATTCTCATGCCTCCCTGGAACGCGACCAAAGCCAAGGTTCGTCGCCGCCGCCTCCCGTCCCGGCGTCCATAACCCCCGCCCAGGTCCAGCTGCGGTACACCTCCCTCCCCTCCCCCCTCCTGTCCCGAAACGCTAAACCCCCCCCCCTCCCAACGGCCTACTCCGTCGCACGCGCTTGCGCACGCTGCAGGAGAAGAAAGAGGCACAGGCGAAGGCGACACGAAGGGACATCGCGACGCTGCTCGAGCGCGGCAGC